TTCCTTATGAGAACAAAATTGTTTGATATACGTTATATACCAAAGTATATTATTTTCTCCCCTCACAAGTGGTTCAGGGTCAGGAACCAAATAATTTCATCTTATTATTATTGATGTGCGGTGTATATTTTGATTAACACCATAACGCACAAAGGTGGATTCTCAAAGTTGAGGTAACAAGTTAGTTTTCTAACATGAGGGGGAGACATGATAAACAGTTGAAAAAAAGTTACGTGGAATGAATTATCATTTATACAGCTAGATCCTCAAATAAGATAATATGAATTTGAAGTTCATAAAAGGATAATTCATTTGCAATATATTGCAAAGCATGCTAGACGCATTTGCTGGCCCAAAGAAAGTAACTATATTCTCATTGAAAATGCTCCTTTTAAGTCCTAGAAGGACAAAGTCTATGGTACGCTTGAAGCGTATAGACAAATCGGTTTCAAATAAACTTCTCGATAAAGAAGATGAGCAAATGATCTAAATGATCATAACAAAGGAGGCAAGTGATCTAGAAGATCACATGACATAACACTTCATAAAATCTTAGGAGAGATTCAGGTACCTAAAAATATAAATGAAGAGATCTCTATGTTATGTCTTTATGGAAAAAAAAGAAGGTTGGAACCAATATAAAGTATTCGTCGACGACATCTATGAAAGCGCTAAGTATAGATGAGAATTTTAAGTCTGTCGAACACAGACACAAAAATATAGAAATAGAAGAGACACAATTCAAATAGAATTGCTTTCATATGAAAGACATGTAGTTTTGAACATGCAGTTCAAACACTTGAAAGTATAAAGTCAATGGTATGTGCATTCAGTTTTCGATATCTTATATGTCTAGCATGACATGAAAACTTGATATGCATCTAAAGTCTATTATATGGCTTATATATCTCAAGGATTTAAACTTCTTAAAGCATATAGAATTCATAGTCATGAAGTACTACATCCTCAGTGCAATTTGTGCACATATATCTTGCTATAACTATATGCATGTAACGACCCGACCGGTCGTTTTGAGCTTTTGCACTTTGATCGCTAGTTCTCGGGCATGACTTGCCCCGTGTGATGCATTATGACTGATTTAAATCGTTGGTTTTGGTTTTCATGAAAATCGGAATGAATTTGAAAGAACAGTCTCAGTTGAAAACTTTGAATTTGAAAGGTTTGACCAAGAGTTGACTTATTTGTATATGAGCTTGGATCGGAGTTTTTATGATTTGGTTAGCTTCGTTAGGTGATTTGTGATTTAGGAGCGCGATCGGAATTGGTTTTGGAGGTCCGGTGTAGAATTAGGCTTGAATTGGTAAAGTTAGTATTTTGGCGAATTCCGGTTGATGGGTGAGATTTTGATCCGAGGGTCGGAATGGAAATCCGAGAGTTGCTGTAGCTTCGTTATGTGATTTGGGATGTGTGTGCAAAATTTCAGGTCATTTGGACGTGGTTTGGATGGGTTTTTGATCAAATACGTGTTTCAGAAGTTTTTTTGGAAAGCTTAGGCTTGAATTCGATGTGAATCGATGTTTTTGGTGTTGTTTGAGGTGTTTTGATGATTGGAACAAGTTTGAATGAGGTTTTAGGATGTGTTGATGCTTTTGGTTGAGGTCCCGGGGGCCTCGGGGTAATTTCGGATGGTTAACGGGAAGATTTTGAACTTGGGAGATTTCAGAAAAATATGCTGCTTCTGGTGTTTTCGCACCTGCGGTGTGGGGACCGCAGGTGCGGTGTCGCACATGCCAGAGGATAACCACAGACGCGATTTTGGGAGAGGAAGATTGGAACCGCAGATGCGGTAGGGGGCCCGCATCTGCGGAGCCGCAGATGCGGCTACTGGACCGCAGAAGCGGTTTTGGACTTTAATGAATTTCTGCAGAAGCGGATGGTTGGACCGCATATACGGTACCGCAGAAGCGGAACTTGGACCGCAGATGCGGAAAGGCCTGGGCAGATCTTATATGTTATTTCCTTTCGCAATTTTGGGTTATTTCACCATTGTTGCCTTCGGCTTGAGAGCTTTTAGTCGATTTGGATGAGGGATTTCAAGGGGACTTTGTTAAGGTAAGAATCTTGGACCTAAAACACATTTTTATGGTAATATTTCATGGATTAAGACTGAAATTAAAGGAATTTAAGGGCTAAAAATGAAGGATTAGGGCTTGAGAATAAGAGGCCTTAAATTGAGAATTTGAGGGGTCATTTGAACTCCGATTTTGGTATTCTTGATATGCATAGACTCGTGGGGAGATGAGGAACTTATTGATGTTAAAATTTCTGAGTTTCGAGAAGTGGGCCCGAGGCTCGGGTTTTGCTAATTTCGGGATTCTTTGGTATTTTTCAATTGTTTTCGCTTGGGCTTTGTTCCCTTAGCATATTGTGATGTATTCGCTCTAATTTTGGATAGATTCGACGCGCGTGGAGGCCGATTTGAGGGGAAAAGGCGTCGCGAGCTAGAGATTTCGCCGGTTCGAGGTAAGTAATGATTGTAAATACTGTCCTGAGGGTTTGAAACCCCGGATTACACATCGTTGTGTTACTTTGAGGTGACTTACACGCTGGATGACGAGCGTGGGGTAGAGCACCGCTGGGGATTGTGACCTAGTCCATCTCGAACGAGTACTTTAATGCGTATTTGATAGTTAATTGTTTGATGTTATTATATTTTGGGTTGTATGCCATGTTTGGGGCCTTGTGCCGACTTGTTGATACCCTTAAGGGCATTTTTACTATCTATCATCACTCTAATTGTTTGAAAGCATGTCCTCAGTCATGTGTTACCTGTTTATTACTCAGATCTGGATTTATCACTATATTCTTAAAATCTGGAAACTGTTTTGGGCTGAGTTCCCTATTTTATTGAGATAGACCGAGGGTCTGATTGTGAGATTGATGACTGAGATATACTGAGGGTCTGATGGTGAGGTTAATGACTGAGAGAGGCCGAGGGCCTAGTTGTGAGGATTATATATCTATGGATCGGGCTGCACGCCGCAGTAATATATATACATATATGGATACGGATCGGGCTGCACGCCGCAGCAATACTTATATGGGTCGGGCTGCACGCCGCAGCAATATTACGCTTGGGCCGTAAGGGGCCCCTCCCGGAGTCTGCACACCCCCAGTGAGCGTCGTCGACGAAGTATATGGATCGGGCTGCACGCCGCAGCGATATATGGATCGGGTTGCACGCCGCAGCGGTTACTATATGGTATTTATTGAGCGTGAGTGCTGAGTGTGAGCACTGATTGGTAGGAGTTGAGTCACGAGTGACTGAGAGGCTAGCCCGAGGGGTGATAGATATATACATGCACATGAGTGATGTTTGCCTGAGGGGCCTGATTATGAACTTATTGATTTTCACTTCTCTTTAGAGTTAGTTTCTATCGAATATGTTGATTTAATGACTGTTTTCACTCATCTTTATACTGAGCCTCTGTCGAGAATGTTAGATAAATGTTTTTAAACAACTTTCACTTAAGCTGGGGTTTATGAGATGTTCAGAACTTAATCACTGATTTGGCTTTGTTATTTCCACTGAGATTTTCTTGTTAGGAGGTGTTTATGACTCCTGTTTTGCCCGAGGGGCTGTTTACGAACTATGTTTTGCCCGAGGGGCCGATTATGGTTTTCAGCTCTTTTATTAAAAATGGTATTGAACCCCTACTTAATCTGTCGGAAGGCATTTTAAATGATTTTTACCAAAAGCTGGATTTTTAAAAGAGGCGATTGACTCGTATTCTGATTTAGCAGCCTGTGTGCCTATTGAGTTTAACATAAATGTGGATTCATTGTTTCCTACTGCTCAGTCTTTATTTACTCTTATTACTTACTGGGTTGGAGTACTCACATTACTCCCTGCACCTCGTGTGCAGATTCAGGTATTTCGGAATCCGGTAGCGGGTGTTGGTTGCTCAGACGCGGAGTCATCAGAGTTAGCAAGGTGGCTGCACGACGTTCGCAGCACCGCTTCCTTCCTCTCATTTTCATTTTTGTACTTAGTACATTTTACTGTTTTTGTTGTATTCAGACCTTGGTAGATGCTCATGACTAGTGACACCCCGATGTCGGGCTTGTGTAATTCTTCCGCATTTTTCTTTTAAATGTTCATTATGAGATTAACGGTTTATAAATGGTATAAAAAGAACTTTTAATGGAAAATGGTTGACTTGAGAAATTGTGTCGGTTGGCCTTGTCTTCACGAGAGGCGCCATCACGACCGGGTCCGGTTTGGGGTCGTGACAATGCATGATAATATGATAGCAAGAGTTTTCACCTCTATGTGAAGATATTGAACTGACGATTCCAACAAGATCATATGAAGACAATTCATCTCTATCAAGAATGATGATTTCAAGGTGCAATATATTCATTCAAGTTAATATGGCTGATTTGTTCATCAGATCTCTACCAAAAATCTTTTGAAGATGGTGCACAAGATTGGAATGCAAATGCTTAAAGATATGAATTAATGCTCTCATCAAGGGGAGTTAATACGCGTTGTACTCTTTTTTCCTTACAAGGTTTTGTCCCACTGGGTTTTCCTTGCAAGGTTTTTAACGAGGCAACCAAAAGGCGTATTGTTAGATATATGTACTCTTTTTCCTTCTCTAGAATTTTTTTTCCCGCTAGGTTTTATTTTAGTTAAGGTTTTAACAAGGCACATTATCTGTTGAATAGACATTCAAGGGGGGTTATAAATAGAATTGTATTTATGGTGAATGTCTATATTTAGAGAGATTCTAGGGTTCATTGCTTGGTGACTAAGTCACCCTCTCCCTATAAATAGAGGGTTCTATTCTATTGTAATTCATCCAATATCAATAAAAAATTTCTCTCCCTACTTTTCTCTGCAATACTCTTCTTTTATTATTTCATAACATATACGACATTTCTTTAGAAATATATGAAATGCATTAAAAATTTCTGTTATTTTTTTAATTATACATGACACAAATACTTATTTGTACATTTATAAATATCAAACATCATACACAATGTAACAAAGATAAATTATAGGTAAAGTGAATGCTTTCAGTACTGAATCCAAAGAACAAAAGTACTGATCGACTAAGTGTACTCCTTACAACTTTGAACAATTTAAAAGATGTCAACATACAACTACACTAAGATCACTCCTAATTTGAATTAATTCCTTTAATTTGTATAAAAAATACAGCGACGACGATTCACAGAGCCATCTTTTTACAAGTCAAGCATTCCATTGTCACTAATTGATCAGACATCCTGTACAAAAAATCCACATAAGAAAGAATTATAACAATATAATATGGGGAAAAAAGTAAAAATGACTTGTATATTTTTTTCAACTCTATTATTTCTAGTCTTTTGATTGTAATCTGGGAAGAATTATAACAATGGTACTTCGATAGCTTAAGGAATACAGAGCTCTAAGAAGTTTATGAGGAACTAGACAAACTATTGCAACTCCTTTCTATGTAAGCTATTGCATCATGCTGCATCTAGTGCAGAAACTGAGTAACATCAATTAGAAGAAATTGCCCAAAACAACAAAGATCTCATAAAACTTCTATTAAACAGAGGATAAGTGATCACCTTTGCAAATATGAATCTATCTTTTCCACAACTGATACTATAGCAATAAGTTAACCTATTCAACTATCACATGGCAAGACATCTCCATTTCTTTCAATTTAAACTGAAACATAAGGAAGAAAAAGTGTTAGAATCCCAAAAGGATGGCAACTTGTCTTATTCTGTTCTGCAACTCATTTAAAAGCAAAAATTAAATTAGTAAGGTAAGTCATGGAAACATTACCACTTATTAGTGTTAGGAATGTTAGCATTCATCTTGGTGTGACATAAAACATATGAGGAAGGGATAAAACAAAGCAATACTTTTACAATATCATAACTATAGTCGACAAAGATCCTTAACAATTTAACTACTCTAGTCCATAGAGTATCTCAACAAAGATAAGCTAATTTGTTAAGAGTTTATTTTTAGAGTATAACTATTGTAGTACTCAGAAAGGCCTCGCGAAATGGATAAGCTAATTTGCTTTCGTCTAACAGATGAGGAGAAAAGTAAAATCTACTATCATTGATTTTAAATGGTAAAAAGAAGATCTGATCAAGAATTTTTCATACACTCTGAGGTTACAATAATTCTTTAACAATAGTTACTAGTATAATACACAAGGAATCTCACGAGTGGATAAGCAAATTTGCTTTCTTCAACCAAGGAGAAGCTAATCAAATATAAAATCATTAACTACAACGAGTAAAATCAGATGTGATAAAGAATTTTTATGCATTCTGATGTTACCAAATTCTTACACAATATATATAACTCACAACATCTATACCAATTTTAACAGCATTATAGGGGCATCCAATTATAAAAAGGCATAACAATTCTCTTTAATAACAACAAACTAAACCTTTCAAAATTTTTATAAATTTGATGTCAAAAATCCAAGGCTAAATGGTGTCTCAAAACATCTCTCTAGGCCTATAGACAAGGTTGGCGAGAAAAATTGGTCTAACTGAAATGTAACAATAAATTTAACAAATTCAGACAATTAAACTGAACTGACCTTATGGAACTATTCAACGTCTATAAATTCATTAATAACACCAAAAGCAACTAAAGAGAAAAGAGGAAAATTTGATTAACTATTAGGTTACTTTCAGAAGGAGTGAAAATTGAAATAGGCCTCACGAACAATAGCTTGAACAACGCCAATCTGTAACGAAACAACCACAACAATATATATCAAAACACATGCATCTAAACCTAGAACACACACCGCGTAAGTCCCAACGGCAGAGCTTATCATTCTAAACATCAAATATTCAACAACAAAAGTAATTAGAAAGAAACGGAATGAAAAGAAAACATATAAAAAAATAAATAATTGAATGAATTATTTAGGAATATTCGGATAAGATTGATAGTTGGTGCAAAAAAAAAAAATATAGGAGTAACAAAAACAACAAAAGTTGGTGAAACCAGAATCACCATGGTGGTACAAAAAGATATAGATATAAAAATTAATGTGGAGATAGAGAGAGATGAGTTAGGATTACCTTAAGACGGTGGCCGGTGATGGTGGAAGAGAAGGGAAAGTGCAGCAATGGATAGGAACGAATTGACGGCGAAGTGAGCAGAATGAGGGCAAAATTTAGAGAGTAAATAGGAATTGCATAGAGTGAATTATTAGTAATATTTTAGTGGAGGAGGGAATCGGAGGGAATAAATTATGTTTTAACTTTTAATTATTACCATTTTGTACTGTCTATTTCCTCCAAATGCTGACTGATATGATGAAATTAAAATTAAATGTGTCATTAATTGCCATCTAATAAATGACATTTAAATTAAAAGTCACAATATTTTATGACATTTTTCACCAAATGTCACTGTTTTCTGACTTCTTAAAGAAAATATCAGGAAATTATATATTTTCTGACATTTACATCAAATAAAACTAAATAAATATCGTCGTATCCATGATTTCTTGTAGTGATTCTTTAAATGATTATTCTCTGCTTAGTTGGGGTTTTGGGGATTCTTTAGTCATTTTGGTAGTGTATATAGATGATATAATCATCAGTAGAACTAAATCCAGCTGAGGTGGCTGTTGTGAAAGCTTATCTCCATGATCAGTTTAAAATTAAGGATATAGGTCACCTCAATTACTTGTTGGGGATTGAAGTGCCGCACACTGAATCTGGGGTCGTATTTCACCAAAATAAATTCATTCATGATCTCCTCAAGGAATTCCATTCTTGTGATTATTCATCTGTTGTGTGCCCTCTTGAGATGCATGAAAAGATGAAATCTAGTGAAGGTGATGTGTTACCAATTGCCTTGGGATCTCCATTGTTGTTGTTGGTTGGAAGAATTTCCCCTTTGGCCTTGATAATTGTTCGCGTATTGCACTTCATACCCATTATCTTGGAACCCACCACTATCTTGGTTGTATTGATCGGAATTCTCTTGGATCTGTTGCCCTCTTTGTCTTCATTTGTTCACTAACATGTTTACATCCTCCATAGCATTAACTTGTCGTGGAGCTTGAACCTATTGTAACTGGGCCTTTGCTAGCTGGTTCATAGTTGTTGTCAATTCTGCTATTGTCTGCCCATGATCATGGAGCTCTTTGTGCAAATGAACGACCGTGGGGTCATCCTGTGGCACATTTGCTCTACTTTGCCAAGCGAAAGACGTGTCCGCCATCTCATTCAAAATCTCACAAGCTTGATCATACGGCGTGTTCATGAAGTTGCCCCCAGCTAATTGGTTCACTATGCACTGGTTTGTTGTGTTAATGCCTCGGTAGAATGTCTGTTGTATCATTGCCTCAGTGATATCATTGTTAGGGCATTCCTTAACCATGGTCCGGTATCGTTCCCAAATTTCATGTAGTGGTTCGTTGGGCTCTTGTTTGAAAGCTAAGATTTCATCCCTCAAAGTTGCCATGTGCCCTAGTGGGAAAAACTTTGCAATAAACTTATCCACCAACTCATCCCAGGTATGGATGTAATGATTGGGGAGTCTCTCCAGCCAGTCTAGTGCCTTCCCCCGAAGAGAGAAAGGGAATAGTCTCAACCGCAGGCATCCTCGGACACGTTGGTTTGCTTGCTCCCCCAACATGTATCAACAAAACCCTTGAGGTGTTCACTAGTAAAATGGTCACTTATTGTGGACCGGGGGAATAATAAATCTGGTAGTTAGTATTAGTTAGTGTTAGTGTTCCTTTGTATTGGGCCTCGAAGCCCACCTTTGTAATTATTCAGAGAGACTTTTTCCTTCCTATACCATATATGAAACCTTATTACCAAAAATGTGCATAGTTTCATATTTACCCGCCATGTTCACAGTTTTCTACAATTATTATACCATTCATTAAATACTAATTATTAGGAGCTGATTCCTTCCTAATTAGGCGCGCTACAAATTAGGAACAGAATATTCTAATTGATTTAGCGACCTTCAGATCAAATTTGAAACGCAAATCCTATATCTTCAATTTAAAATCAAATTACATAGACTCTTTTCTGCAAAAACTCTGTTCTTCGATATTTTTCCTTAAGCCACAAATCAAAAAAAGATAAAATCGTCAACAAATTCGAATCAAATTGTAGAAATCAGTTCTACAAAAGCTCAGTTCGTCGACATTCTCTCTACATCTCTCTCTATTTCTCAATCGCAAATTTCAGTAATACAAAGCAAATGAAAAGGGGGCAGCAATTCCACCATTGACAGCCACTAAAAAGCTTGAAAGCTTTGAATTCAAATTTGGGTTTTCAAAAATCATTATTTGTTTGGATTGGGTGTTGTTGAAAATAATCGGGAATATGGTTTGGAGTTTATATCTCAATTTTGAGGGGTTTTGGTGAAGATTAGACTTGGTTTTGACTGAATTTCAGATTGAAACTCGAAGAAGAAGAAGAAGAACAAGAAGAAGAAGAAGAAGAAGAAGAAGAAGAAGACGACATATTGCAGAAATTGTAGATAAATTATAGATTATTTGTATTCTGATTGTAGATGCTTTATTTTCTGTTTTCACAAATAAAAAACGGCTAAAAATTCTACAAATCTTCTGAAAAAATGCAATTATGTCAAAAATCCCAATTATGCTACAATTGAATGGGAATTGGGATATAAAGATTCAATGTACCCAGTTTGTAGATATTTTTTAGATAAATTGTAGATTATTTGTATTCTAATTGTAGATGCTTTGTTTTCTGTTTTCACAAATAAAAAACGACTAAAACTTCTACAAATATTATGCAAAAAATGCAATTATGTCGAAAATCCCAATTAAACTATAATTGAATGAGAATTGGGATATTAAAATTCAATGTACCCAGTTTGTAGATATTTTATAGATAAATTATAGATTATTTGTATTCTGATTGTAAATGCTTTGTTTTCTGTTTTCACAAATCAAAAACGACTAAAACTTCTACACTAATTACTTGATCGCGTAAAGAAATTAGACACGTATGCCATTCATTATTCTTTTCGAAATCCATTTTGAATATACGAATTACCTAATTTATTTTTGAAGATCATTAAGCTCGACCAGTTACTTGATATCGTTTTCTGCAAATTCCTGTAAGGTACGTACTTTGTCGACACATTTTTGGAAGGACCAAGAAAAGAGTTCCTCTGAAGACAAATAAGAACTAAAGAATTTCTCTGAAATATAATTTTAGTTACATGATTCTTTTTATGTTTAATAACAGTACATAAACATGGGTGAGGGTGAGGGTTTGGGAGAGAGAAACGTGGGAGGGATGGGATATACGGTACCTTGAATTAAGGAGGAATATACGTTGCATTAATTGTACCCTTAAAATACACTATGTTATAGAATTGGTAGTTTGATATACTATGTGTAATTAAGTCAAACCTTAAACATTGAGTAATAAGGTTTCCTATGTGGTATAGGAATATAAAAATTTCTTATTATTCAGATGTATAATGTTTAGTTGGTTAGGTAGTTAGGTGAGTTTAGTAGTTTGGGCCAGCCAGGTTTGTATATATAGACAGGCCCAAGCATATTAAAGGGCGGATTTTATTTTCGTCACAGTAATAAGAAAATTCCCGATTCTCTCTTTATGTTCTCTCAACCCCAACCATGGATTCTTCAATCTCTCTCAAAAAAAATAAATAATGTTTTTAAAAAAATTAAAAAAATTTGCTAAAGTATACGGCTAAACGGGAACTTCATTTCTGAATTGCAACTGTTGGCTCTTTTTGAGAATCAATCAACCTTATAATGTTCAGATTTTCTCCACCCCTATATAAATACAGTTCCATTCTTATGAGATACACACAAATAAGAAAAACTATTTTTTTTATCGGATGTCCCCGAAGGGACAATAAGAAAACTATTTCTCTAATTTAATCTGTTGGGTTTTTTACTTTGAAAAGTTCTTTGTTGTTTATGCTCTTGGTTTATACCAGAAGAACTTGTTGAATCTTTGAGAATACACCTCTACCGTGAAATATCCTTAAGAACAGTATCTTCAACATGCCTCAAACTTCGAAGAATTTGCGCGAAATTTCCTATTTTTTACAAGACTTGTTTATTCATTTTATGTGATATTCTTCTCGTACTAGTTTATTCTAAGAAAATAACACTTTTTTTGTACTTAGAAATAATTTAACTATTTGTTTTACCTTTAATATTTTTGTAGTATAGAAATCTAATAATATGTTTAGGCCTACAAAAATTAGAATAGTAATGGGCCTACGCGTACCATGTTCCGATCTAGACCAAATTCTCGTTACAATATTATTGCTATTTTCAAGGGAAATTACCAGCTATGTCCATTTATAAGTTGCTCATTACAAAAATTGGCCAATTGATAAAATATTACTAATATTAGCCAAATTAGCCAATTAGCTATTTGTACCAAAAAAATAGCAAAATTTTGCTTTGTTTTGAGTGGGTGTTATTAGAATAGATTGTGCACAACTTAAGGAGCTTGAATCTCAGTTTTGGGATGATTTGGTGAAGTTTTGAGGTGGTTTAAATTGAAAATTCGAAGTAAAAGCTGAACATGAAAAAAATGATATGTGTATCACATTGTGTATCATTTGTGTTTCACATATGTATCATATTTGTATCAATTGTGTATCACATGTATATCCATGTATACCTGTGTGTGTGATACATGCGTGATACATGTTTGATACTTGTGTCGTAGAAGACTTTTTTGAACTCGATTTAATTACGAATTTTGGTACAAAACCAGTCCAAATCATCTCCAATCTTCCTCAAATTTTGTATATTGACTTATCTATATAATTTCAATGAATTTCAACTATACCCATTGAAAAAGTTTCTTTTTTGTTTAGATTTTTGTAATATTGTATAGATTTTTATATTTCATCACCTTATTTGCTACCCCGTCCATGAAATTTTCTTTCCGTCTTTTATCTAATGTTGCTAATCACGCTTAAAAATATGGAAGGTAATTTTTGCATGTGATTCTTCGAGAGAAAGAACCCTATTATTTGGTTTTTCAATTTTTGTTGGCTAGTTTTGGTAAGTCTATGACTAATGGCCAGAGGTTGATAAGTTGAGATTTATTAGGGACATTTGTGTAAGTTTCCCAATTCATCTTTTTCATCAACCCTTATAGAGTCTCATATGTTTGATATGTCTCATTTGTTCCAT